GTCTAAGCGCCAGCCTGGGAATTGCAAGCACCTGAGTTCGATCCCCAGTATCTCATGCTATGCTGACCACCGAAACCAGGTGTGGTGGCACATACCTGTAATCCCAGCGCTGTAGAGGCTGAGACAGGAGAATCACTATGAGTCTGAGCTGCATAGTGACAGACCCTGTACCAAATAAATACATCTTTAAAAAAATAAAACTTTTGGGCTGGGGAGATAGTTCAGTAGAATAAGCACTTCCCTGGCAAGTGCAAGGTCCTGAGTTCAATCCCCAGTAGTGCAATAAATAAATAAATAAATAAATAAATAACTTCTTAAAAAATAGCAAGAAATAGGCATTGTGCCAATCCAATTTTTTGCCTACTGTATTCTGGAACTGCATCAGCTTTTCATATCTGAGAGTAAAAATCCATTCAGGCCACCTCAAGTTCTGAGAAGTCTATTTTAGCACATACAGAACACCACCAGAACCCAGGGCCAGCAATAGAGCTGGACTCGAGTTAGAAGGGAAAGGAACATGAAGTGGGCAGGTTCCATGCACAGTAGAAGCTGGGTCAGCTAAGGTGTCCCACCGGGCTGCAGCAGATGTCAGGCTCTTGGGCCATGAGGGTCTGTGTCACCAGCCCTACATCTCTGCTTACTCAGAATTCCAACTTACTCATCATCTTTCTATAGCCAATATTTAGCTTCGTTTCCCACGATTCACATGTTCTTTCTATAGATCTCCATTTTTTTTCTTCTTCTTTTGGTCTTTTTGAGAGTTTCTCTATGCAGTTCAGGCTGGCCTTGAACTCACCCTACAGTCCAGGCTGGTCTTGAATTTGCAGTGCCTGCCTCAGCCTCCTGAGGGCTGGGATTATGGACATGCATGCTACCCCAGATCAAATTATTGAAAGGAAACATAAAACAAAACAAAACAACAACAAAAACAAAACAAATCTGAGAAGAGAGCTCAGCGGTCTAAGTGCTTTCCTGGCAAGTGCAAGGACCTGGGTTCAATCCCCAGTACTGCATGCCTGCACACCTGTAACTCCTGCACTGAAGAGGCAGAGACTTGAAGATCACTACGAGTTTGAGCTGCGTAGAAAGACCTTGTACCAAATACATAAATAAGATTTTACAAAACTTTTTATAAAAATGTCAGGTAGATAGCCCAGTGGCTTAAGTACCTGCCTGGCAAGCACAAAGTCCTGAGTTTGATCTCCAGTACCACAAAAGAAAAAGAAAAAGAAAAAAGAGAAAAAAATCTGCCTGGTATAGCTCAGTTTTCAAACTGAAATGTCTTATCAGAATCACCTGAGATCTTGAACTACAATTGTTCAGTCCTTTCCCTGGTTCCTAATGTCGCAGCCTTGCAGAGGGCCTGAGAATTTCTTCTTCTTCTTTTGTTTATGTGGATGTTTGGAGACAGGGTCTCACTGTGTAGTCCAAGCCAGTCTCAGACTCCCAATCCTGCCTTGACCTCTGGAACAGGTATTCAGGGGCGTGTGCCCCTCGCACGAGGATGTACACTTCCCCCGGGCAACGCTGACTGCACCCTCTGGGAACCGCACTGGAAGACCACTGCAGGGTTAGTCGTCGTGCATCTGTTGGGACGCCCTAACGGGGCAAGCTCCTTCATATTGCCAAAGCTATTCTTCTGACCTGACTCTCAGGCTCATAATTCCTTCTCTCTGCTCTTTTGAGCAGGTGCCCGAATCTTATTACTTTCGCCACTGGAATGTCTCTGACACCTCCTTTTCTTAGTCACTGATCTGGACAAGGATATTATGAAAACACATTTCAGTGTGGCCAGGAGGCTCACGGGAACCTCCCACCCTTGAGGCCCCAGGCAGGTGCCGACAACCAACATTCAAGACGCCCAAACACAAACTTGCCCAGGAACACAGCACGCCCTGTGCCCTGTTGCCCTGCACAACTAGGGATGGAGCTGGCAGCACCACTGCCAGGGCTGCCCTGCCTCGTCCGGGTGCCCCTCTGCCCTCGCCCCTGCCCGCTGCTGCTCCCTTTCCGTCCGCACCTCTGCACGGGCTCCCGCCTTGGAGGATTCTTCTGCTGGCCTCTCTTGGGCCTTCCCTAGCAGCAGGGCCTTCCCCAGGACTCGGCTCCCCGCACCTGGCCTTCTCCAGAAAACTCCTTGCTGCAAGCCCAGGGCTCTGGCACTGACGGCCCTCTGATACTGTCCCGCTCCCCGTGGCCTCCTTTGGGTAATCGCATTCAGCTGAGTCTTTGGAACACCGCTAAACATTTGGGCTTCAAGTCAACAAGTCACTCACAGTTAAGTGCTGCTTTTTCCATTCTCCCCCAAACCCCCATCTCCAAGCCTTTCTTTTGAGAAACACAATTCTCTGAAACCTGGTAGGACCAGACTTCGGGGAAAAAGCTTTGAATTCTTTCAGCGTTTAAATGAAAAGGATTCTGCAGTCAGACATGGTAGTGCACACCTGTCATCCAAGCACTCTGGCAGGCTGAGGCAGGAGGCTTGCAAATTTGAGCCCAGCCGGGGCAATTTAGTGGTCTACTGAGATCTTGTCTCAAAACACAAAATAAAAAGGAGGAAGAGATATAGCTCACAGAGAAGGTGCTGGGGTCAAGCTCCAGTACTACAGGGGGGAAAAAAAGATTCTAAATTCTCTTAAGTTCCCTGACTATATTTCAACAAGGAGCATGGATCACCACCCAACTGGACATCCAGAAGTTACACTTGCCAGGCAGGCACTGTGCCACCGAGCTATCTCCCTGGCACTATAACTTATTTCTTAAGTTTTTATATAAGAACTTACTCTTAAAATGTTATTTTTTAAAAACAATCCACTTATTTATTTATTACAGGGTCTTACTATACAGCTCAGACTCATAGTGATTGTCCTGTCTCAGTCTCCGTAGTGCTGGGTTTATAGGCATGTGCCACTACATCAGGTCTCGGTAGCCTGCTCTGCATGGGGAGGCACGACATGCAGTACCAGGGATCTGATGTCAGAGTTTGATGAATTTGAAGTTTTAATGCAAAACTGTGTAGATACTTAAGATGCAGCCAGCAAGGGGAAGTGTGCTTTTCCTTCTGAAGGGCCTATTCTGTCTCATGATGTAGTGCTTGAGGTCATCACTGAGAGATTTGCCAGATTTTAGGATGCTTTTCTTCACTGGGTTGGCTTGAGTTGTATTTGAATTTTTATAGTAAATAAATGTCATTGCCACGTTTACAAAAATTGATATCAACAAAGTGAAAATCCCCAAACACCTCACTGATGCTTACTTCAAGAAGAAGCTGTGGAAACCCCTGACACCAGGAGGGTGAGATCTTTGATGCTAAGAAAGAGAGATACCAGATTTCAGAGCAGTGCAAGGTGGATCAGAAAGCAGTGGACTCATAGATTTTAGCAAACATCAGAGCTGTTCCTTAGCTCCGGGGCTATCTGCGATCTGTTTCTGCTCTGACAAATGGAATTTATCCTCATAAATTAATGTTCTAGAGCTGGGAGATAGCTCAGTAGAATAAGCACTTGCCTGGCAAGTGCAAGGGCCTGAGTTCAATCCCCTGTTCCACCAAAAAAAAAAAAAACCCATAAATTAATGTTTTAAATTTCTTACTAAGAACCTAATTAAATAACTGATACATTTTTTAAAAAATCTTAAGATTCTATTTCTCAAAAAAAGATTCTGTTTCTCTTCAGATATATAGTTTGCAAATATTTCCCCCGTTCCATAAGTTGTCTCTTCACTTTTAATTGATTCCTATCTTGTACAGAAACTTTTGGTTTGATACAATCCCATTTATCTATTGTGGCTTCCATTGCCTGTGCTTTTGGGATCTTATCCAAGATATTCAACTCCCTGATTTGGTTATACACAATATCTACAGGTCTTGAAAGTCTATTTGCCACATAGATATATACAATTACTGTGTATCAATTGAAACCATGTTTTTTTCCCAGCAGGTTTGCAGCAACCTGTAGAATTATGAGGAAACATACCCAGATGTTTTCTTCTTGCCGATACTGCTGCCAGTTCCTCCCACCATCACTGAACATCAAGAGATAGCTGGTCACCCAGTCAAAGCTCCCATATCCTCCTTGCGTTGCCACAGCAGTGACCTCCATTCGCTCTCCAAGGTCAATCTGCAGCCACTGGTATTTATTTGACACAAGTGGGGTCCAGCCACCAGCTCCTTTCATGGAACAGAAACAGCAGAAAAATGATAAAGTAGGAGAAAAATTTTAACCTGTCAGTTACTGGAATAGAAAGTTATTATTTCAAACTTACAGATTAAATTTAAGAAAAAGAGATTCACATCATAGGATGTTTGAAAAAGAGAATCAAACATAGGGTTATGTGGAAATGGGTGGGTCCTACATAATTTTCAGATTTCTCTAGAGATAATCCTCTGCAGTATGGAGGGTAGGTGTCACACTAGGTGGAGAAAGTGTCTGATGTCATGGCAGACAGATAATTTAGCATTCATGTCACTTTTTGAAATGAGTGCATTTAGTAGCCCTGGGTAAAACCTGTCCTTTGCCAGACACAAGAGATTAATTTCTATAGTAGGAAGTACATTATCAAGAATTAAGTAAACAAAAATAATCACAACATGATCTGTGTCCTTAAAAGGTTTACAGTCTCATAGGAAGGACAGGAATTTAAAGGAATGATCTGAAGCCTAAGGACGAAGCTCAGTAATTGTGTGTATTTTTCATGTGTAAGATCCCAAGTTTAATATCCAGTATTTCAAAAAAAATAATAATTCAAAGAAGGGAGCACTTTGTGAATTGATGTCACTTGTGTACAGTTCAGTTCTGAAGTAGACAATCAAATGGTTGTTATCAGAGATTGAGAAATGTGGGTGGGAAGATAACAGAAAAAAAATAGTTCTTAATAACAGAATAAAAAGGAATGAAGTGCACTCTAGGTAGGGCATATCATGCCCTCTGTTCCCGTTGGCCAGAATAGGAAGATACTAAGGTCTGTCTTGGATAATGAGAAGAACTATGTCATGTATGAAGAAGAGGATACAAAACAGAACATTCACATTTTTTTTTTTTTGTTTTGACCGGGACAACGTAAAAAACAAGAATGTGAGTAGAAATGGCTGGTGCTATCTTATCGATGCTTGTTATATTTCCAGTCAAATAAAATGAGAGATTCTCTCAATCAATACTTCTTTAATAATAAATGCCTTGAAAAATGGGCACAAATAATTCCCAAACTGAGATTAGCATTTTCACTTTCCCCTCGTTCTGTCACTTATTTGAAGGCTCTGATAGAAAAGTCTGAAAATGTAGACAGCTCATTATTCATCAACTTATGTTGCATGTCTTTTAATGAAGGACTATTGTTTATAATTACATAACACTTTGCAAAGTCTTCAGTACCAAACACAAGTAAATGTTTAAAAAGTTCCATATCATTACATTTAGGAGGAGCAGTAAGGGAGTGAGGGCACTGCACTGTAAGCTAGCATGAGGGGAGTGCAGAGAAACGTATTTATCGGCACCGCTTTGAATTGGTGGCCACACTCTCATCTACACTTTCCTTACGATTTCCACATGTACATATTCTTTAAAATTTAGATTCTATGATTTTTTGTAGTCAGTCTTCATTCAAAAATATTTTTCTTCTGATTGTACCATAAGCACATCATCATTTTGATATGGACTGAAGTACATACACATTCTGTTCTGCTTGTCCTTTTCTAACATGTTTAGTAGAGGGTCTACAGGGTCTCATTATACAGATCAGATTCATAGTAATCCTCCTGTTTTCAGCCTTCTGATTACAGGCTCGTGACAGCAGGATGACCATTAAGTCCTATAGCTCCGTGTGAACACCAAGGGACAGTTTTGGAAAAGTATTTGGGTGCCCACTCCTCTATGGAATTGCTGGCTGCAGTACTGCTGGTTGCAGATACCTTGGCCTCTATCTTGGGCTTACATTACTCACTGCCTGTGGCTTTCCTCAGCTAATCTGCATCGTTGGCATCCCAAGTTTCCTGAGTTTTAATGCACTTTCAGATTTACCCTCACAGTTTTACTCACTGCTTCCACAAGGCCAAACTGTCTGGCCTCCAAAACCTTCCTTTGAAATCTGGGTGGAAGCCTCCCTGACATCACCACCGCTATTTTATGGACAGGAATTCATCATGCTTGTAAAACCACCACCATGAGGATGATGCCAAGATTTGCCACCAACTTGAGTAATAACCAGGTCCTCTTAGACCATGACTACAGGGACCTCTAACTGCCTAGGCGCCTGAGCACTGTCAGCCAAATCCCAGGGAACCAATTTAAGAAGGATGCCCTGGGACTGTTTTCTCAAAGCAAATTCTTTCACTTTTTTACACAAGAACCTACTAAGGGTGACATTCTGAAGATTTCTGTGATGTCCTCAAACCATATTTCCTACTATCCTGATGTAAAGTACCTGGTATCCATTTAATGTTAGCCTTTTTAACAACCAAACTCTCCAAAGTACAAACTTTGAAGGTGATTTATTTTTGGCCAAACTTCACATCTTTCAGTTCTGGTCCTTTGCTTTTGATTCTGTGTACACCTTGCTATAGAACCACCAGCAGTGCACATGCCACACCCTGTATGTTGGGGTACCTTAAAATTTCCTCCACTGGATCAGTCTGCCACACTTAATCTCAGTCTCCTACAAATTTTTAAGGCATGAAAAAAATTTCAACACATTTCCCACCAGGGCCTGTCTCAAGTCTAATTGCCAGTGTCGTTCTTATTCTGAATTGAAACCTCCTAAACTGAGCCTTCAATGTCTACATCTTCATCAGCATTCTGTGCATCTGGGCTCACACCAGAATCTCCCATCAAGCTCAGTGTACAGTATTCTCAGGATCCTTCAGACACCTCCTGCAAACCTGTTCCAAAGGTTTTCAGACCATATGGTCAGATAGTCGTAGCAACAACCCCACTCCTGGTACAAAAGTCTATCTTTGTCACTTTCTCATTATCAAGTCACAATATCTGACACCCACAGCTTAAAGGAGGGCAGTTTCATTTTGACTCAGTTTCTCAGAAGTTTAAATGCATGGTTGGCAGCCCCAAATGCAGAAACAGCATGATGAAAGGTCCTGCTTCAGAGGAAAGCTGCTCATGTCAAGGTGTCCAGACAGCCAAGAAAGAAAGAAGATGCCATGGGGGGATGTATACCCTTTCAAATCATGTCTCCAGGGAACCACCACTTCCCTGACTATGCCCTATCTCCTAACAACATATTTAGCTATACTAATGAGCACAGTGCCCCCATAATCCCATGACCCTCCAAAAGCTCTGCCTCTGAGAGCATGAGGTTTTGGGGGATGCTGACAATCTAAACCTTAACACCATTGAAATCTCTGAGGAATTATTAAATATTTTGGATTTTTCCCTGTTCTGATTACTTAGCGTTGATGGCACATTTTTAGTTCATATTTCTTTGTTGGTATTTTCAGTCCCTTTCCCTAGAAGACCAAAAAAGTAGTGAAAATCAAAACACACATGGGGCAGCAAAATGAGAGAAAACCATCAAGTCCCTGGTATGCTACCATGGGATCTAACCTGTCATTAGAGGAAACAGAAGCCACTGTTCCTCCTTGTTAACCTCAAGATTCACAGTTCTTTAGTGTGTTTTAATAGCTGTACTTCTGTTAACAGACCCAACACATTCCGATTTAGCAATTTTGCCTGTGACACATAATATTCATGTGAAAATAAATTATAGTTTTCAGCCTTACTGATGATGTGATGAAACACTGTCACTATTAGAGCCTCATCAAGATATTACAGCCAGAAAACCTATAATCCCACCTGGATTTTAAAGTTATGTTACTGTATGCATGGTTTAATTGCATGCAGAGTGGGAATGGTGAAAAATATAAATGACATTGAATAGAAATGATCTCCTTGTGTTACAAAAGGCAGATTTGATCATTAATGTAGAAGGCCACAATGAGATAATTGATGGGTCTATTCCCATACAAGCTCCACCCCATCCCATCCCAATAAATTCTTTGCCAGCCTTCTTCCTCCTTGAGAAGTTTGCATCTCTTCTGCAGCACCCGCATGCAGAGCAATAATTTCTTTACTTTCTCCCACTTCTCTTCCGTGCCAGAGGAAAGAAACTTATGATAATAAAAAAAGAAACAAGATTGGCTAATTCCACCAATAGTGTGTTAACTGCCCATTCACTTTCTGAAATAAAGGCTATTTATTTATTTATTCATTTTGGTACTGGGAATTGAACCCTGGACTTTGTTCTTGCCAGGCAGGTGTTGTGCTGCTGAGCTTTCTTCCTGGCCCTGTCCCTATTTTTTTAAGTAGTAGGTTTGTTCTGGGGTGTAACTCAGAGGTAAAGAACTGGCCTGGTATGTGTGAGAACCAAAATCCAATCCTCAGCAACACACACACACACACACACACACACACACACACACACAGAATAAAGTAATAATAAAGGGATTATAATAACAAAGTCATCTCACTGGATTGCAAGGAGGCATATCTAATTTTTATTTCTTTAAAATAACACTGATAGAAGTCTCGTCCTCCCCTCTTTGATAAAGACAAAGATTACACACAAAGTGGAAAATAAGGGAAGGAAGAGCAATGAAAATGTGTGAAACACATATTGTATACTGAAAATGCCACCCAATGTTTTCATCCACACTGCCATTTTTCATTTCTAAAGGCATTCAGTGGTTCTGCTTTACCATACCCACTTAAAAGTGAAGAAAATAAAGCAATTAATTTACATGCCTGTAAAGATATCATTTAAAAATGAAAATATATTAATATAATGTATCATTCACTTTGTCTTTACACATAACCTGTTTGAATTATGCCCCTATAAGTTTTCTAACTGTATGTTACAATTTTGTATTTGCCAGCACAAATAGTCATATTTTACTATCAAAGGAAAGAATTGTAACCTTTTCTGTTTTGCCACTCTCCTGGGTCTATGGTAGGTACAGTTTCATTCATCTCTAACTGTATATAATTCAATAAAACCATCCTTGTGCATTTTTGCTCATCTAATACATTGTTTGGTTAGATATATAATCTCAAATGGCCACTTGGGCAAGCAAGTAAGGCAATCTTTGCTTGCTGAGTAGAAAGAGGAAGTG